TGATCAGGGGGTCGTGGTCTCTCTGAATGGAGCGGCCTCTCCATTTTACCCGTGCCCGCGGAGAGCCTGCGGGGCAACCGCGGCAAGTTCCTGCCAAGTTTTGGCAATTTTGAGTAACATGGGCCCGCGCTCGCTGCAAGATGACCCGCGCCCGCGGCCTGCTGGATTTGCCTATGAAACCTCTTCGAGGCCTCTCCAAGCCCTCTCTAAGCCCTCTCTAGCCAAATGCTTCTTCCTTGCTTGATCATTAAAGTCCCAAATTGAATCCTTTGCCAAAGTGATTCTCACAATACCTACACAAGTACACAAAGAAAGGAAATAAAAGGGAAAAAGAGACAAATAAAGGAAAACACGATAAAAACACGAGAATCATAAAGAAAAGAGGAAAAAGAGAAACTAAAGGAAAATGGACCAAAAATAAGAGAAGAAAGCATGAAAAGGGGAAAGAAATAACCCTAAAAGACTACCCTATGAGTGCCATAAATGACACTCATCAAAAAGCATCATAGTCATTCAATCCACACAAATCAAAAGACCAACATTCTCTAATCATGCAACAAGAAGAAGGAAGAGAGTTAGGGGAAGAAGATGTACCTCTCCCCTTAATTTGGAAAGGAAGAATCGATGCTTGTGAGGTTGCACTCTAGAGCTTAAACTTAATAGAAACAACCTCCTTCCCTAAGACCGAAATTTGAGTTGACAATTTGTTGATAGCATTGAGTTGTTCAATTGAGCATCCCATAGTACTAATCTTGTTTATCGGCTCTTTCTTACCATCTTGCCATTCCATGTAGTGTCTAACTACATCCTTAATGGTATCTACAACCTCTTCCTTGCTCATGTTCATGATTGGGCCTCCAGCTCTGGCATCAAGACTTGACCTCCCTTGAGGACTCAAACCGCCATAAAAAAATTTGAATGATGAGTTAAGTGGGGATTCCAATATGAGGACACTCGCTTTGATACTCTTTGTATCTCTCCCATGCTTCATAAAGGCTTTCACTAGACCTTTACTTGAAACCTTGAATAAAAGATCTTGCCTCCGCCGTTTTCTTTTGATGGAAGAAACGGGAAAGGAATTCTTTGGTGACTTTATCCCTAGTTCTCAAAGAATTAGGCTTCACTTCCTTGTCTAGCCACTCTTGAGCTCTTCCAATTAGAGAGAAAAGAAATAGTTTGAGCCTTATGAATACTTGAGCAACCCTGTACACTTTAATTGTGTTGACATATTTCTCGAATTCCTTAAGATGATTTAGGGGACTCTCATTTACTCATCCACTATATTTCCGCCATTTAATCAAAGTTATCATTACCAGCTTGATTTCAAAATCACTATTTGGGATCAATAATAGAGCAATCCCGCTATCATACTTGTATGCACCCGGAGTACCCGATTCCTTCAACGTAACCCTTAGGAATTATCCCATGTTAACTTGCACACACAAACTCAAAGGAAAATGTTAGTAACACGGCTACAAATGTAGCCAAAAGAGAAAAATCGTTTTGTATTTACGAATTTTTAGTGAAATAGACTCAATAACAATAGCAAACAACTACGCCACTCCCCTGCAACGACGCCATTTTGATCAAAGGTTGAGATTAGGTTGTTAGACTAATCTTCCCTTGGCCAAACAAAATTTGTAATCACTCAACACACCCTTATAATAAGCATATGAGTGAGTCGAGGGTCGAACCACTAGGAATGGGAGGTGAATGCTAATGCTAATGTTAAGCTATTTCGAAGTAGTGAAGTAAGGTGTGTATATTCTAAATCAATCAAGCGATCGAAATGAAATCAAATATATCTAACAATAGGGTTTAGGATCCAAATATACTTGCAATAAATTCAACTAATTGGGATTGGAGATGACTACGTGGAGTGTTGCGAGGGAAAATCAATTATGCAATTAAGAGAATATGGTAGGCCAATCTCCTAGAGGTCAAACTAGTGCCAACTACGAGAGACTCTAGCACGGACTTTCACAAACCAACTCAATCAAAAAATGCAAGCCACAAATAAATTGTCCGTATCAATGTGAACTTACAATACAATCTAGTGCGAGTAACTAGGTTGATCACTTCTAAATTAAACACACATGTTTTGGGTGTTTTTGTCCCTTGGGAGAGTTACGTCACAAAGACTAGTCCGGCTGAGTTGTACCTGAAAAACAACGGAGACTTCGGGTGGTTGGAGCTCCGCCTCCGACGATCAAGTTAGAACGTGTTGGAGTATATGAAAAGTGCGGAAAACAAGATAAAAGTGAGATCTTCTCGAATTCCAAGATCAATAGATTTCTATGATGTGAGAAAATATGGATTAAATAAATGATTGAATGTGTCTCCAAATTGGGGGAACATCTCCCTATTTATAGGGTAGTTGAAAAAGTGCCCTCCCTAGGTCACCTTGACCTAGATTTTATGGGCTACGCTGCAAAGTGCGAATTCCTTGGGAATTGGGCTCTTGAAGGCCACAATTCTGATTATTCTCTGAGGTTGCCACGTGTCAGCTACTGAGTGGCCTATGGTGGCCTACCAGAGCTTGACACGTGGGCCTCTCTCATTAGTCCACACGTCTAAGGTATTTTTACCTTAAACATTTGCCCCTCACAGGGGTGACGTGGTGGGCCACGTGACGCCTGTGACACGCGTCCCCTTGTGAGTGGTGAATAGTAATTACGGCGATTCACCTTCTGGGTGTGATGGGGATACCACCGTTTCACCCCTCAATAAATAGAGGTTTACCCCCCCCTTCCTCCTCCTCTCACTATTTCAATCATTTTGACTTTTTAAAGAGAGAAAGAGAGAGAGAGATATTTTGATTCTATCCGCGTCAGATTGTTCAAGATTTTCGAGTGCTCACTTACAACACCCAGTCACCATCTGTTGCAGTTTTTAGAAAATTCATAATCAAAGTAAGGTAACCGCCTGTACCCTTTTTCAACTTTTACTTCTTTTTCATCAGAATACATTCTTGTTCCGTCTGTATACATAGTCTTTATAGAGGAATAAACGAGTTGTTAATTGTCTATCCCAAAATCAAACTCAATTTATAATATCCTAAACAAACCTAATACAAGTATAAGGCCAGTATAGGGTCGAACCCAAAGGAGTGAGTCAGTATTAACTATAGCCTAAGTCAAGCTACTTCGAAGATTGTAGTGAGAAAATGGTTGGTACTATGGTAACAAAGCTAGAATAATTAAGTAATTCAAGAATTTAAACACTAGGGATATAGGTTCCACATGCAAGTTCAATAAAAATGCTAATTGATTGTTCATTCACTTGATTCAAGCATTGCAAAGGACAAACAATTGTAGCAATCAAGGAAATTCAAGAGCTATCTCCTAGAGGCCAAGCTAGGGGTCACTATGAATGGCTAATAAAGGAAATTCACAATCAAAATCAATCAATTAAAGCGATTCTCAAATTGATGGTTCATGTCATTAAGAATTGCAATGCAATCTAGATTAATCTTATAGGTTGATCACTCCTAATCTAATTAATCACATGCAAAACTATGTTAACTAAATTAATTGCAACAATTTAATCAATCAATGATCATCAACTAGCACAAATTATCAATCAAGCATGCTTCCCCTTCTCCCTAGCAACTAATCTACTCACTAATCATGGTTAGCTCAAGAAAAAATCACTAGAAATAGCATTGATCATCATTCTTAATCAAAATCAAGAGAAATCAATATCAACTTCAATAACAAATTCAAATCCATGCAAATCAAACATGAAACTAAAACAAACAAGTAAAGAGATGAACTAAAAGAAGAGATTCTCACTAATATTAATGATTGAAGATGAAGAAATCCAAGCACAACTGATCCAATTTTGAAATACAAATCCAAAATCAAGAACTTCTCTCTAACTTCTCTCTCTAAAACTAAGCTAATGAAAATTATCTAAAAGTTGGTTTTCAGAAGGGAATTACAAGTGTATAAAACGGAATCCCCGCGTCGTCTCTAGTAAACCCCGCGCCCTCGGGGAAATGGGTACAGAACCCATAACAAACTCCGCGGGCTGTCTGGGAAACACCCACGCCCGCGGCAAAGGCCTCTGCACCCGCAGCAAGGGTGTGGCGAATCCCCTGCTCCCAAAGGGTGATGCATTTGTTAATGGAGGATTTAGGGCATGGAATAAACCGGAGAGGTTTGATAAGCATGTTGGTGGAGTGAATAGTGCTCGTAATGTTGCTTATGAGAAGTATGTGAATCTAAGAGAGGGGGAAAAAAATCAATTGTCAAAATATTTGACAATGCAAGTGAGGCACAAATTCAAAAATATCATATTCGTTTGAAAGCATCATTAACATGTTTGAGATTTCTTTTGGGGCAAGGTTTGGCATTTCGTGGGCATCTTGAAAGTGAGGAGTCATAAAATCGGGGTAATTTCCTTGAACTTTTGAAATGGCTAAGGGGAAAAGTGGAGGAAGTTAAAAATCATACTCTAGAAAATGCTCCTAAAAATTGTGTATTGACTTCTCCTAAGATTCAAAAGGATATTATAACTTGTTGTGCAAAAGAAACAACTAGGCGTATAGTGGAAGAGGTTGGTGATGAATACTTTGCAATATTGGCGGATGAGTCAAGTGATGTGTCCCAAAAATAACAATTAGCTCTTGTTTTGCTCTTTGTTGATAAAAAAAGTGCAGTGGTGATGAAAAGATTTTTAGGCATTGTTCATGTTGGTGATACTACCGCTTTATCTTTAAAAAAATGCAATAATCTCTTTGCTTATGGAACATAACTTGAGTCCATCAATGATTAGTGGGCGAGGATATGATGGTTCTAGTAACATGAAAGGTGAGATAAATGGGCTTAAGAATTTGATGATGAATGACACTCCTAGAGCTTTTACATTCACTGTTTTGCACATCAACTTCAATTGACTCTTGTTCCAGTTGCTAAAAAAATGATAATTGTGGTTGGGTGTTTGAAATTACTACAAACTTGTTGAATGTAATTGGGGCTTCTTGTAAAAGAAGAGAAATGATTCGAAAAAGTCAAGCTCAAAAGGTTGCTCAAGCATTAGAAGTGAGGGAAATTGATAGTGGTTCGGGATTGAATCAAGAAGTTGGTTTGAAAAGACCCGGAGATACACGTTGGGGATCACATTACAAATGTGTTCTAAACATTATATCCTTGTTTCCTTCAATTGTTGAGGTACTTGTGCACTTTGGAAAACATGGTTCATCGGAGGATAAATTCAAAGCTCAAATTGTGTTGGGTTCATTAGAATCATTTGATTTTATTTTCATGGCTCACTTGATGTTGACTATTTTCGAATACACTAATGATTTGTGTATTTCATTGCAAAGAAAAGAACAAGATATTGTTAATGCCATGAGACTTGTTTCTTCTACAACGAAAGTGTTACAAAAAATGAGGGAACAAGGTTGGGATATTCTCTTGAAAAAAGTAACTTCATTTTGCAATAAACACAAAATTGATGTTCCCAATATGGAGGCTAATTATGTTCCACATGGAAGATCAAGACGTTTTGTTGAGAAAGCTACAAATGAACATCATTTTCGTGTTGGAAATTTCTTAGAAGTGATTGATTTGCATCTACAAGAACTTGATAATCGATTTAATGAGAAGAATATGGAGCTACTTACTTGCATGGCTAGCTTAAGTCCTAAGGATAATTTTTCATCATTTGACAAAGAAAAGGTACAAAAGCTAACCTCATATATAAAAGATACTTGTCTTATTGTTATTATATATTAATACTTGTCCTTTTTTTTTACAAGGTGCTTAAACTTTCTTCTTTGTACCCCGAAGACTTTTCACATAATGAGTTGTTGAGTCTTGATGATCAACTTGAAGTGTTCAAGCAAATCATGTTAGATGATGAAAATTTTTTAGATTTGTATGACATTAATTCTCTTTCAAAGATGCTTGTCAAAACCAAGTTGCATGAAACTTATCCTCTTACTCAATTGCTTATCAAGTTAATGTTGATTCTTCCCGTTGCTATGGAAAGTGTTGAAAGAGTCTTTTCGGCAATGACATACATCAAAAGTAAATTGAGAAATAGTATGGGTGATCAACTTATGAATGATTGTTTGGTTACTTACATTGAGAAAGAAGTGTTTTTGCAAATCCCCGATGAAGATATCATTAATCGATTTCAAAAAATGAAGACTCGGAGAATATTTTAGTAGTATGTAACCAAATTGTATTATTAAATAGATTTTGGGATTGTAACTTTTTAGTATTAAACAAGTATATAGCCGAATTATTTATATTTTGTACTCGTTTTTTAAAAACAGGTTGATGTTAGTTGAATTATGGAAATTGTCCCCCATTCTCAAATTTCTAGGTCCGCCACTGCTACTGGTTGCAGGTTGCAGAGGTAGAAGGTGGGTTGTTGATACGGCTAGTGTTACGCATTATTTGGTGAGTTATGGTGGCCGGTTGTGGCTGCTACTTGGGTGTTTGATGTTGCGGGAAATTGGTGGTGATTGGAGGTGAAAAGTGGTGGTTATTGGGGCTAGTGTTAGAGGTGAAAAGGTGTGATAAATACGGGAGCGGGGGAAATGGCTTAAACAGGGGAGCTACTGGCCGGAACAGGGCAAGAAAGTCGCGCCCGCGGTGCTAGATCCCGTACCAGCGGGTTTGGGGCCGCGCCCGCGGTGAGCCCGCGGCCAGACCGCGGTGACTTACTGCCTGTTTCGGATGCTTTGGTGCAATCGAGCTCGCGCCCGGGCTTAAAGACCCGCGTCCGCGGATACCTATGTTGCTGCGTTGAATTGGTGATGTGGTGGCATAGCTTGATGAGTAGTAGTTGTTGTTGTTGTTTGTGATTGCAATTAAAGGAGTGGTTTGGACATCAAGCTTGAATATCGGAACTCCGAATATGTCAATATGAATCGAGTCTTGTCCCGAGCAATCACCTACACGAACAACCGAACATGAGGGAGAAATAAGAGACAAATAAAATAAAATAAATAAAATGGAAATAAATAAAGTAAAAATAAAAGAAATAAAACTAAAACCATTAAATAAGGACTAAAATCATGAAAACCCAATTAAAACTAATCAAAACCCAAAATGAGTTATTAAAATGGAAAACCAAGGAAAACTAAGAAAATAATATGAAAATATCGAAAGAAAATATAGAAAAATGACCTAAATTTTTTTTTAGCGCCATAAATTACCCTCATAAGATTACGCCACTGCGGTGTATGATGCTCAAGTTATAGGAGAGGCAGCTCCGCCTTGCTTTAAAGAATGGGCTGCTGAGCTGGGATATGAAGTCTCAGATGATGAGGAGGAGCCGGCGGAGGGCCAAAAAAAGCAATACAGCCAGCCTCAGGCTGCCGAAGATCAATCAGGATCCCTTCTTGCCAGTTAGGACCAGCCGGAGCAGCAGCTACCCCCACAACCTTGAGTCATCCATTCCAACTTCTGCGGTTGTATGTCATTTACTTTCTTTTCCAGCTTGTATGCCGAGTATCTTTGTACATTACGGACTATGGGGTCGGGTAACATTACTCTTATTATTTCTCTACACCGGATGTGTTTCCGGTTAACAATCTTGTTTGGCCTTCATGCCAATTTTAATTTAATGAAATATTCCGACTCAGTCTATTTTTATACGTAATTGCATTTGTGTTTGGATTTTAAATTTTGAATTGAATTTTGCCTATATACTGCAAGTTTTTGCATATTTTTGATTTTGCATATTTTTGATATTTTTCCTCACTTATGAAAAGCATGCGGCAGATAGTAATTCGGCTTCTCTTACACCTGGACGGCTATGTGGTTGGTTTCGTTTCAAATTGATTGATTGGCTTGAAAACATTTATTACTTTGAGAAGTATGGGATGTTAATAAGCGAATCAATCACAATAGTAATTGCCCCAAACTAAGTGCACAGCTGACCATAAAACCGGGAGCTTCCAGCCTCTTACCCAAGCGGTAAACTACCGTCTGGGGTGGTTGCATAGCCATTACACAAAGCTCATTAATCCCTATAGGGGAAATTGTGCAATTTTATAATAAATAGTCTAAGTAAAAACTTCGGTTGATAGTCGGTTGGTTGTACGAGGACATCAAGTTTCTCACATGCTTAATCGTTCCTTAGATTATTCCGGTTAGACGGCTATGAGTTGACCAATTAGGTCGTTCAATCTTTGCCGTCTGTGTGTTAACGTAGAGCAAGCTATAGAACGCTCTCTACAACGATTTCACCTGGAGGGGTGTTGCAAGACGCCAAGTTTCATACTGGAACAGGCAATTTTGAAAAATGAGCAACCATCCGGCCGTAGGCCTCTCGTCTGAATCAAGACCGCTTGCGTAGCCACTAAGCCTTTTTGTGCTTAGTTTGTTATGGTGTCAAGTTTCAAACTTAAGTTTTCAAAGTAAACATTAAAAGTCTACATAAAGACAAATAATAATGTAATTGAAACAAAAAGCAACTTTTCATTTATAGACTTTTTGCTTACAAAAATTTACAACCCTCAGAAGTAGTATTTTTTTAAGTTTTCTACATTCCAAGTTCTAGGCAGGCGTTTGCCGTCAAGGGTTCCAAGGCGGTAGGTACCATCCCTAACTTTCTCATAGATCCGTAAGGGCCTTCCTAATTAGGAATTAGCTTTCCAAGCTCATTGGCCCTACCGGTTGCCTCCATTTTTTGTCACACAAAGTCGCCAACTTTCAAACGGCACTTGTGCACTTTCTTATTGTAGGCTCTCGTCGTTCTCATACAGTATATCTCATGACACAGGGTAGCATTGCCCCTGAGTTCCTGGAGGGTGTTCAATGCCAGCCGCATGGCCTCCCAATTAGCCTCTTCATCGTAAAGCATGACTCTGAGAGTTGGCTCGTAATGTTCAATGGGAAAGACGGCTTCAGCACCATATACCTTGACAAATGGAATTTTACCGGTTTCCCCCTTTGGCAGTTGTCCGGATGGCCCACAAAACATGAATTAATTCCTCTGCCCATAAGCCATCAACTCTTTCAATTTTCTTCTTGATGCCATCTTAGATGAGTTTGTTGAAGGCTTCAACTTGGTCGTTTGCTTGGGGTCGGTCGACTCATGAAAAATAGTGTAAGATCCCTTTATCTCCCAACCATGTCTTGAGGTGAGGCGTTTCAAACCGAGGGCCATTATCAAACACCATAGACATAGGTACCCCAAACCGGGTGATGATGTTCTTCCGTATGAAAGAGATGACATCCTTTGTCTTGATGTTCTTAACTGCCTCTGCCTCCACCCACTTGGTGAAGTAATCCACAACAACTAGAATATAGCGTTTTTGCCTGGTACAGGCGTATAAGGACCTAAAATGTCCATGCCCCATTTCGCAAACAGGACTGGGCTGTGGATTGCAGTCAGATCAGTTGCCAAGCGATGAATGAGTTTGCCAAACCTCTGACTTATGTCGTATTTCTTTACCAGCTCTTTGGCGTCTGCCTCAAGGGTAGGCCAAAAGTAATGCCACCTAGCTCAAACGGCTAGAGATCTGCCGCCTATGTAGGAGGCGTAGTATCCCGCATGCAGGTCTTTGAGAAATTCCTTCCCCTTTTCTAGGGTAACAAACTTCAATAAAGGTTTAAGGAAACGAGCCTTGAAGAGCTATCTGTTTCTCATCTCGAAGATTGTTGCTCATTTCTTCATGACGGTTGCCTCCTATTGTGAATCAGGGAGCGTATCGTCTGTTAAATATGACCGGATGTCATCCCTCCAGGTAAAGCTTCGGTCTAGGATTCCAATAGGATCTTCATATATACTTCTTTTTTCTAGTACTTCCCAAAAGACTGACCGAGGCGTATCACAGCAAGCGGAAGATGCCAATTTGGAGAATAGATCCGCCTGGTTGTTGTCTGACCTTGGCACCTGACTCAGACGGAATTCTTTAGGTGCCCCACCCTCTTCTTTGACTGCCTGAAGGTATTTGATCATAGCCGGATGAGTTGCTTCATATTTTCCCTCATACTGGCTTACGACCAACTGTAAATTAGAATAGGCGTCAAACTTTGTTGCCCCTTCCGCCTTACACATGCGAATTCCGGCTAACAGGGTTCGTATTCCGCCTCGTTATTCGAGGCCTGAAACTTAAACCATAGTGCACATTCAAATTTGTCCCCCTCTAGAGACTCATTTATAATTCCTGCACCACAACCGTTTTTTTTGTCGAGCTCCCGTCTACATACACTTTCCAAACCTGATCAATGTTACCCGAAGGAACCGGTCGTGTCATTTTGACGTTGAATTCGGCAAACGCCTGACCTTTAACTACCTTTCTTGGTTCGTAAGTGATTTCAAGACTTTTCATTTCAATAGCCTATTTCAACATCCTGCTGGCTTACTCCGTGGTGGACATTGGTCGCTTGAGGAGCTGATCGGTGTAGTTTACAACTGGATATGCCAAAAAATAAGGCATTAGCTTCTTAAATGCCATATATAGAGCAAGGCCAAAATTTTCAACCATGGAGTACCGGAGTTCAGCATTTTTAGCACATGGCTAATGAAATAGACCGGGAGCTGGATGCCATCTCTCTCAGCAAGGAGAACAGCACTGAGAGCATGGTCTGAGACGGCTAGGTACATGTATAATGTCACTTTGGGCAAAAGGATAACTTCATGTCAATCACCGCCCGTATCTTCTTAGGGTTAGCCTATATCCCCCTTTGATCAATCAAGATTCCAAGCAACATCCCAGACTCAACACCAAAGACGCATTTCTTGGGATGTAACGTAACCTTATGCCGCCTGAGTGTGGTGAAGGTTTCTCGGAGATCAGCAAGGTGATCCGTCTGCTGCTTGGATTTGACTTTCATGTCATCAATGTACGCCTCTACATTCCTCCCAATTTGATTAATGAAGATTGTATTAATCATCCGTTGGAAGGTAGCCGCTGCATTCTTCAAACTAAACGGCATCACAGTATAGCAGAATAACCCCTGATCAGTGATAAAGGTCGTCTTCTCTTTATCCTTTTTCCTCAGGAGTATCTAATGGTTGTAGAATCGGCTAGACTATCAACCTTTGGACGCTGATAACTGTCCTTTGGACATGCCTTATTGAGGTATGTGTAATCAACACACATACGCCAAGTACCATTTAGCTTCATTACAAGCACAACATTCGCCACCCAGTTAAGGAAATGACATGACCGAATAAACCCAGCATCCAGAAGCTTTTTTACTT